AATCATTTCGTACCATTCTCTTGTTTTGGTACCTACAGATGGACAAAGATTATTGCATAAGTAATACTTAGCAACATTATTTGGGTTGTCATGCACATGTCTGGATTCTATGATTGCATCTGCAATAAAATAGGTTTCAAGATATGGACATTTGCTCGGTAAAGTTGGTTTCTTTGGTGTAGAGGTTTGGAAAACTGGAGCTGGAGGATAAGCTGAAGGTTGGCTTGAATAAGCTGGATAATTGATATTTGGGGAATAGGAAATAGGACTATTACTAGGTGATAAAGCAGGTTCCATTCTTATTGGTGACTGGGCAATATTTACTGGAATGATATCCAGTGAGGTTTCCCCTTTGTTCAGGAGTGGAAGTATTATTATTCTTATTCATATTTGCATAAAACAAAGTTAGTGGAAAAGATAAAGCTGGTGGATCAAAATGATCAGTGTTGCCCTCCCTGCAAAAATTCACGAGTAAGAAAATCAGGGAGATGGTTAGTAGTACCTTTTAAGTGTTCGATAGAAAAATCAAAAGATGATAATATCACCTGCCATCGAGCAAAGATTTGCTTAGAGACAAGGTTTTGCACATCCTTAGTAAGAATATCAATGGCGGCTTTGCAATATGTTCTAATAAGAAAATGTGTATTAAGTATATCACTCTGAAATTTAGTAACACAATGAACTATGGAATGTATTTCTTTTTTCACGGTAGAATAATTTTGTTGAGTAGAATTTCAAGCTTTCGAAGTATAGCGGACTAATTGCTCATTAGAGTTTATTCGTTGTTTTAAAATACCTCTTAAACCTAATTCAGAAGCATCACATTCTATTATTTTGAAAGCATTAGGATTAGCTAGATTTAAACAAGGTAATTCTTTAGCTTTAATTTTTATTTTCTTTATAGCTTGAGTATGTTCCTCTGTCCATTTGGAAGGATTCTTTTTAAGCCGTTCATATAATGGTTTAGCATCTATAGCCAAATTTTCATAAAAGTCTACTATATAATTTAAACATCCTAAAAATTTTTGTAATTCGGTTTTGTCTAAAATAATATCAGGAAATTTATCAGCAAATTGAATAGATCTTTCGATTGGTATAATTGTACCATAATGAATATAATAGCCTAAAAGTCTTATTCTTGTTTGAAAAGATTTATCTTTTTAGCAGATACTACTAAACTTGCATGTTTGATTGCTTGTACAAATGTATGAATATGTTTAAAATGTTGTTCTATAGTATCCGAGAAGACTAAAACACCATCAATGTATACTATCATAAATTTATAATATGGATTAAATACTTCATTCATTATTCTTTGAAATTTTGATGGAGCATTTTTTAATCCGAATGGCATTACGTTCTATTCATATTGTCCAAATGGAACATTAAATGCAGTTTTATATTTATCTTCTTCTTTTATTTGTATTTGTCAATAACCAGATTTTAAATCAAATTTAGAAAAGATTGTAGCAGTAGCAAGTCTATCAAGTAAGTCTTTTTTATTAGGTATTGGATACCTAATCCATTGTAAAACTTTATTCAAGGGTTTATAATTTATTACTAATCTTGGTACGCCTCTTTCTTTTTCCGTATTTTTATATATATAAAAAGCAGCACAGCTCCAAGGAGATGCACTTATTCTTATCAGATTTTTTCGTTGTAATTCATCGATTTCTTTTTTACAAAATTCTAGTAAGGTTGTATTCATTTGTACTGGTCTAGCTTTAGTAGGAATTTTTGTTTCATCAAATCCTTTTTCGTAAGGTAATCCTACTATATGTTTCTTTCTTGTCCAAAAGGCATTGGGAAGGTCACTACAAATTTCTGTTTCTATTTGAGTCCGAAGATTATTAATTTTTGGTATTATCTCAGGGTTTTCTAAGTCTTCTTCTATTTGTTTATATTTTATTTCTATTTTAAGGGAACATAGAAACTTTTCTTTATTATCTATTTTGTCTTTGACTTTATTTATTTCTTTAAGTTTTGGTTTTTCTAAAAATTCAAACTTAATTGTTTGTCCTACTCTAAATGTTTCTATTCCTGTATTATTAATTGTTATGGGATGCAGTATGGTTAGGAATGGAATTCCAAGTATGACTGCTTGACTTAAATTTTTTACCATAATAAAAAGTGTTGAAAAACAGTGTCCATTATTACATACCATGGCATTTGATAATTTGTATTTAATAAATAATCTACTACCATCAGCAGTATTAAGTATTTGAGTAGTTTTATCAAAATATTTTGATGGAACTAAACCTTCATTAATACAATTTAAATCTGCACCTGAATCTACTAAAGCTAATGTTTGAAAATTATATTCTTCTTCAATGACAATTTTTACTAATATAAACCATTTTTGAGAAATAATTTTATTTACTAAGTTTACAGATATATTTTCTTCAATTTCTTTGGTTCCAGAAGTTTCTGGTTCTTTATCACTAGGATCTGCTAGTTGATCGAATTCGATTTCATCTGTATCAGTTACAGTTCCTGATATGTCATTTTGTAATTCTAATATTTTGATTCTAGTTTTTAATTGTCCTACTTCTGTTTTTATTTCATTTACTTCTTTTTTTTAATTCAGATATTGTGGGTTCTCTTTGAAGTATATCTTTTTTATTAATTCGTTTGAGTATTTCAGCAAAATTGTAATCCTCTGGTGGTTTGAGTAATG